CACCTTAGTCCTCAAACTAACATCATTTCTCTTCAATAGTTTGTAGAGTTCCCTGACTATAGATTTTCCCAGTGCAATACGTCTGATCTCTTGATTGCTGGTACCAAGTGTATTGATTGTGGATCCAAGTAAGGTGAATTCTTTGACAGTTTCAGTCTCTTCTCCATCTTTCATGATATTGTAAGAATATTTGATTCTCAACATTGACAATGACAGCAATGGAGGCAATCCATATTGAAGGCTGTAGTTTTTTATCTTCTACAGCAAGTGCCTCAAGTCCTCCTCACTTTTAGCAATCGAGGATGTGTTATCTGCATAACGCAGGTTGTTGATCAGATCATCCAGGAGCCTGGGCTGTATGAGGAGGACTGTGGCATCAGGATTGATGGAAGATTCATCAACAATCTACATTATGCAGATGACACAATTCTGCTTGTTGAAACTGAGGAGGACCTGAAGCACTTGCTGCAGAAAATCAAGGACTGCAGGCCTTCAATATGGATTGAAGCCCAACATTAAGAAAACAAAGATTCTCACCACTGGGCCAGCTGGCAGCATCATTATGGATGGTGAAGAGATTGAAATTGTTAACAGTTTTAGTTTACTTGACTCCACAATCAACACTCTTGGTACCAGCAGCCAGGAAATCAAGAGACAAATTGCATTGGGAAAGTCACTCTCCAGAGTACTGAAGAGCAGCTACATTAGTCTGGAGATTAAGGTGCACCTGATCCAGGCCATAGGCTTCGCAATTGCTTGCTATGCATCAGAGAGCTGGAAAATGACTAGGGATGACAGAAAGAGAATTGATGCCTTTGAGCTGTGGTGCTGGAGAAGAGTGTTGAATATACCATGGACTGCTAGGAGAACAAACAGGTTTGTCTTGGAGAGGGTGAAACCGCGCTGCTCCTTGGAGGCAAGGATTCTGAAGCTTCATCTGACATACTTTGGACATGTGACAGGTCCTTGAAGAGGGACATCATGTTTGGGAGGGTGAATGGACAGCACTAGAGAGGAAGCCCCTCAATGAGATGGCTGGATCGATTCAGTGACTGGGGTAATGGGGGTGGGTGTGTCAGAGACAATAAGGTTGGCACAGGATAGAGCAGGATTTAGGCCTCCTGTACAGAGGGTCACTATGAGTTGCAAGCAACTCGACGGCACATAACAACAACAATCCTGATGCCACATTCTTCTTCATAGAATCCAGCTTCTTGAATTATTTGCTTAGCATGCAGACTGAATAAGTACGGAGAAAGGATGCAACCCTGACACTTCTCCTAATTTTAAACCATGTAGTGTTCCTTTGCCACTTAATTTATTAATTATTAATTAAATTTATTAGTATTAGGATGAATATTCTTTAAGTGGTACAGCAGTCGTTTGTCTCTTTGCTGTACTGAATAACTTGGAGCTGCTGTGATACTGAACACTGTGCCATAATCGTGCCAAACACCATAATGGTTACCCATCGTGGACAGTATTTAGAAGAGCTTCCAGACTGATTCAGGTTTGGAAGCAGGAGTGGCATCCACTTCCTAAATCACATGCCTCTGGAAAATAGAGAAATGATGTTAATTATAGAATAGAATTCAGGTTTTTTGTTCATAGGGTTGCTATGAGTCATATTCGGCTTGCTGACACTTAACCTCTGCTAAGTGAGACTAGTGTTATATTTTGGAGGAACATTCTTCTGCTTTGTACATCACTCTCTGTCAATTTGCTGTACTGAGGTAATCTGGGTTTGCTGTGGTGCTGAACCTTGTGCCATTGGGGTGTCAAATGCCATAATGGTCTCCCAATGTGGACAGTGTTTGGTGGAGCTCCCAGTTGTAAAACAGATTTGGAAGCAGGAGTGGTGGCATCTAATTCCTAAACCACATGACTATAGAAGCTCTATGAACTTAGAGAAATGATGATAGTTATAGAAAGGCATTAGATCTTTTGTTCATAGGGTGGCTGTGTGTCATGCGCAACTCAACGGCAATCAACAACAAACAACAGTGTTCCCTTATTCTGTTCATACAGTAACCTCTTGGTCTAGGTAGAGATTTTGCATAAGCACAATTAAGTGTTCTGGGATTCTTCTCAATGTTAGCCATAATTTGTTATGATCCACACAGTCAAATGCCTTTGCATAGTCAATAAAGCACAAATAGACATTCTTCTGATAATCTCGACTGTTAGCCAAGATCCATCTGACATCAGCAATGATATCCCTGGTGTCACTGACACTTTTAAATACAGCTTGGATTTCTGGAAGTTCTCTGGCAATACACTGTTCTAATTGGTTTTTTATAATCTTCAGCAATTTTTATCTTCCATATGATATTAATGATATTTTTTATCACTGTCACAGTCTGTGGCATCACCTTTTGGGGAATAGGAATAAAAATTGATCTCTTCCAGTCCATTGGTCAGATAGTTGCCTTCCGAATGTCTTGACATGGCTTGGTGAGCACATCCAGGACCGCATTTGCTATTTCCTTAAATGTTCCCATGTCAGCCAATTCTTTTTGGTACAGTGACTTTGTATATTCATTCTCTCTCCTTTAGATGCTTCCTGGACCATTCAAGATTTTGTCCATAGAATCCTTCAGTATTGCAACTAAGGCCTTGAAAGCCAAATAATAGACAGGTCTATAAGATGACCAGGCAGCTCTGGTGGCTTCTTGTTGTTGTTATGTGCTGTCAAGTCACCTGCAATTCTTAGTGACCCTGTGAGCAATAAATAGCTCTGAACCCTGCTCTATCCTGAGCCAGTTTCACTAACTAACTCCAATACACCTACCCCCATTATCTCAGTTACTGTGTCAATTCTTCTCATTTGGGGTCTTCCTCTCCTGCACTGTCCCTCTACCCTTCCAAGCATGATGTTTTTCTCCAAGGATTAGTCCCTCCTGGCAACAACATGTCCAAAGTATATGAGATATCTCTTTGTACATTTCATTATAACACTTTGCTTTGTCTTCCCATGTTGCCGTTTAGAATATTCTGTTCAGCTCCTTAACTTCCTGATTTCTTTCTTCCCTTTGCTTTGGTTTCATGGCTCTCTGGTGCAATATTTAGAGTCTCTTCTGACATCCTTCTGGGTCTTTTCCTCCTCTATCTTTTACATTCTTCATAGGTGATAGTCTTGATATCCTCTTACAGCTTCTCTGGTCTTTGTTCATTAACGTTCAAGGCCTCAAATCTGTTCCTGAGGTGGTGTTTAAATTCAGGTGGGATAGACTCAAGATCAGATTTTGGTTCTTGTAGGTTTGATTTCATTTTATTTAGCTTCATTTTAAACTTGAAAATAAGTAGTTGATGGTCTGTTCCACAATTAGAAGCTGGCCTAGTTTTCACAGCTGACTTCTGATCGTCTCCAACAATTCTTTCCACAGATGTCAGAATCTGTAGGCTTAGTGGTAAGGAATTGTGTTGCTAACACAAAGGCAAGCAGTTTGAATCCACCAGCTGCTGCTCCATGGAACAAAAATGGACCATCTCCTCGCATGCGATTAACTGCCTCTGAAAACCCCCTGGAGGGTCAGCTATGGGTCAGTTCCAACTCAACAGTGAACAACAACAGCATAAGCCCTGACAGCAGTTATAGATTGGATAGGATTGAAAATTAGAATTACTGGGCGGAAGTGGGGAAAGTGTGATATTAATATTATAAATGGGTATAATTAACATTATAAACCAAATTTTGATGAAAACCCAATTTTCTTTGTAAACTTTCACTTAACTCACAATAAAAAACAAATTTAGAAGAAGAAATTCTCATACTACTTACTACATTCTGAAATTTAAACATTTCTTTTCATTTGATGACAAAGTAGTTTAGGAACCGTTAAGAGTGATGGTTAAGCAACTTGATGAACATAATTAATGTCACTGAACTGTATGTTAACACATTGCCACAAATGACAGCAAATATGTTTCTAAGCACGGTCGTCAATTTAAAAAGTGTGCGGCAGCATATTAAAAGACCATAAAAATGGCAAATGTTTTGTTACCTACATTTTACTACAATAAAAAAAGTTATTTAGATAAAAGAAGAAGGGGAAAATGTAGGGATAAGGAAAGGCTGTTTGTTGAGGAATGTTGGTGAGGAGAAGGAGGAGACCTCTGGCTAGGGCAAATCGCCTAGCTCCAGGTAAGGGCAAGCCTATCTGACCCAACAGCGCTTAATACGGGATAGAGAACACTCTCTGTGTTTGGCTGTTCTGGCTTGAGAAAACTCGCCACCTGGGAAGAGGCTGCCGCATCTGTTGAGCTGGGAGTGGTCTGCACTGAGCTGAGGTTCTCCTGTCCAGTCCTCATACTCCACATCTACAAATCCACCCCATCCTATCTTCCAGTTTACTCGCCTGTATATAAGCACACTGTAACGCCCAATAAAATAGAGTTGGCTCTCTGAAGCACTCCTGGAGTGGTGTGTATTCATTTTGCTTACCTCCCTCAGGGTGTCGCTGCTCCCTGCTGGAAAATGGACAGCTGTTAGCCAAGAAAGAGAGCTAACATTAATCAAGTGCCTACTAAATTGTGAGCACATGCAATCTTCCTTGAATCCCCATCTTCATCCCACGAGATGGGACTTGTTATGGACTGTCAAGTTAGAACTGACTTGTAGCTGACCGTCCAGTGGGTTTTCAGATATGACTTATCACACAGGGGGAGATTTCCCATCTTTACTCCCACAGAGCAGCTAGTGGATTTGAATCACATGCCTTGGGGTTGGCAGCACAACTCCTTACCAGCAAGCTCCCTCGAGATGGGGCTACTTACTCTCATGTAAGTGCTAGGGATGCTGCGTCTCAAAACCGTGAAGTGGCTTGATGGGAGTGTGCTTGATTGAAAGGCTGGACCCAGGACCCTTTGTGAACTGAGGATCATTGATGATCAGTAGGGCACTGGCACATGAGGGTCTGGGTGCACCCTAGGCTGCAGGCATGGACCAGTTGGCTGACCCCAAGTCGAAAGCCACAGTGGTGAGGACCTTGCAGATACAGAAACAGAGAGTCTCAGAGTAAGGCTGCCGTGGCCCTGGAACATGAGTCTTGAGGTCAGGGGAGAGGTCTAGAAGAGGATGTCTCTGTGGAAGCAGTATCTCCCCAAGGAATGTTCTGAAGATTTGTGGTGAGGTTATATTTGTTTCAGTGACTGGCAGACACGTCTCCTGGCCCTTAGGAGAGAGGACACTGTGGGAGATACAAGCCATCTGGGACAGTCATATACAATCAAGAATTTTCCTGTGTCCCACACTCCTTCCAAATGTCCTGGCAGAATTCATGCAGTAAATTAATTTTGAGTTTTCACTGTAATTATCTGAGACCAGAATCTAAAGAGTTAGATTTACATATAAACACATATTTGGCACAATTCTCATATACAAAGCATTTTCCAGGAATGTAATGCTGTGCAAATTGAGGGATGGTCATACTTTGTTGGAATTTTCCAAGAGTTGCTCATCACTTCAGAACCACATCACAGATGGTGAAATCCTTGTTTTAACTCACTTATAAAATAAAAATCCTGTTAGTTCTAATTCACTGTGCTTGTATCCCAGCGAGTCTCTGTGCATTTTCTCAGCTCTTATTTTAAAATGTCTAATACACAGAAAGAATGCTAATAACATTCAGTTGCTGGTTGCCATCAAATTGAGTCTACCTCATAGCAATCCTGACATGAATGTCAAAATAGAACTGTGTGCTTCTTAAAGTTTCCAGTGACTGAGTTTTTAGAAATACATTACTAAATTTTCTTAAATTCAAAGTTACTCATTGTCAAGTTTAAGGATGAGAAGGTTTGATTATGTCTGTTGTTGTAGTTGTTATTGTTATGTGCTATAGAATCATTTGCAATTCATAGCAACTCTGTGTACAACAGCTCTGAACCCTGCTCTATGCTGTGTCAACCTTATTGTCTCTGTCACACCTAACTCCATTACCCCAGTCACTAAATCATTCCGTCTCATCAAGGGTCTTCCTCTCCTGCACTGTCCCTCCACCTCCCAAGCATGATGTCCCTCTCCGAGGACTGGTCCCTCCTTGCAACATGTCCAAAGTATGTCAGATGGAGCTTCAGTATCCTTGCCTCAAGGAGCAGCCTGGTTTCACCATCACCAGAACAAATCTGTTTGTTCTCCTAGCAGTCCATAATGTAGTCAATACTCTTCTCAAGCACCACAGTTCAAAACCATCAATTCTCCTTCTGTCATTCCTAATCATTTTCTAATTTCAGATGCATAGCAAGTAATTGCGAACACCATTGCCTGGATCAGCTGCAGCTTAGTCTTAGACTTATTATATCTAAGTATTTGCATATTAAAATGTAGAGCCTTGGTGGCTGAATGGTAAGGAATTGCAAATGCAAAGGAATGTGGTTCAAATCCACCACTTTTTCCATAGGAGAAAATTGGACAATCTCCTCCTGTGCAATTAACTGCCTCTTGAAAACCCCCTGGAGTGGGTAAGTTCCTACTCAATGGTACACAACAACAATTATAAAATTATTGTTGTTGTTGTTAGTTAAACAATAAGTCAGCTTCAACTCATGGGAGCCTGCAGGTAATAGAACTAATGTTGTCTGTTCCTGCACCATCTTCACAGCTGTTAATATACTCAGATTCATTGTAGCCATCACGTATTGAGTGCCTTCCAACCTGGACAGCTCATCTTCCCGCACTATACTGTACAGCATTATGCTGTTGTCTGTAGTTCAGTGAATGACCTCATCTGATTCTTCCAACCTTGGCCTTTGTGACTCTCACCAGGTAACTGGATGGGGCTGTGCAAATGTGACATACTTTTGGCCCACCAAGAGGATTGTTTGACTTGCTAATGATGTTAATAAGAAAATAGTGCACTTGTGGACTAGGACCATACAAATCGAGTGTATGGATCCTAGCATGTGGATTGGTAATTTTTGCCATCCTGTTAGTCTTTGGAGGAGGGTCTGAAGTGCTTCCTGCAGAAGGTCAAGGACTGCAGCCTTCAATATGGATTGAATCTCAAGATCAAGAAAACAAAGATTCCCACCACTGGGCCAATTGCCAGCATCATGATAGGTGGTGAAGAGATTGTTAACAGCTTCAGTTTGCTTGGTTCCACAATCAACACTCTTGGTACCAACAGCCAGGAAATCTAAAGATGAATTGCATTGGAAAAGTCTGCTGTCAGGAACTTCTCCAGAGTGCTGAAAAGCAGTGATGTTAGTCTGGAAATTAAGGTTCACCTAAAACAGGGCCTTGGTCTTCGCAATCACTTGCTATGCATCAGAAAGCTAGACTATGACTAGGAATGATAGAAGAAGAATCATAGCCTTTGAGCTGTGGTGCTAGAGAAGAGTATTGGATATACATACCATGGACTACTAGGAGAACAAACAGGTTCATCTTGGAGAGGGTGAAACCAGGATGCTCCTTGAAGGCAAGGATTCTGAAGCTCCCTCTGACATACTTTGGGAATGTTGCAAGGAGGGATCAGTCCTTGGAGGGAGATATCATGCTTGGGAGGGTAGAGGGACAGTGCAAAAGAGGAAGACCTTCAAAGAGATAGATTGACTCAGTGACTGGGGTTATGGGGGGAAGATGTGTCAGAGACAATAAAGGTGGCACAGGATAGAGACGGCTATTTAGGCAACTCGATGGTACATAACAACAGTAACAATTAGGCTTTGGCGTTCTGGTGGCTAGTGATAAGGAGTTATGCTTCAAAACCAAAAGCATGCAGTTTGAATCTACCAGCTTCTCTGTGAAAGAAAGATGGGCTTTCTCCTCCCATGTGATTTACAGCCTCAGAAAACCCACTAGAGAGTCAGCTATGAGTCACTCGACATTCATAACAACAACACTAGGCTTAGAGGAAGCTCTGGTGGTGTAGTCTATAGTGAGTTATGCTGTTGTCCATCATGATTTACAGCCTCAGAGACCCAACACAAGATCACTATGAATTGGAATCAGCTGCATGGCTGTGAGTTTGGGTTTGGGGAGATCTAGGAGCATAGTCTCTAGTGAGTTGTGCTAGTAGCCCAAAAGACTGTGTGCCTCTGGCACTTTAAAACCATCAGTAGCTCCACAGAAGAGGGACATCCTCTCATATTGATGCTCCCCGATTAATACAAGCTTGGAAGCAGGAGTGGCATCTACTTTAGTAATAGCTTGCCTCCGGAAACCCTATGAACCTGGAGAGAGGGTGAAAGTCATGCAGGTGTTGAGGACTCTCCTTCATAGGGTCTCTATGAGTCACCTATGATTCGATGGCACTTAACAATAAGAAGCCCTATAGAGGATTACTATGAATTGGAAGCTACTTGACAGCAGTAAGTTTGAGTTTGAGTAGGCTTAAAATGAGCCATCTCTAAGGCTGAAACAGGATCTCACTGCTGTTGAGAAAGAAGAGCTTCTGAGTGTGGATGTATCCTTTATGCCCAAGATCCCACATTAAGAGCTCCTTGATGCAGGAGACAGAGAGGTGTATAACACCAGAGTGAGGGCAGGCCACAATGAGGGATACTGGAGAGAGGTGGCAGTAACAGAGGCAGCAGCACCCAGAGACTGGCACAAGACAGGGCTATGGCCTTTCCACCTCATGGAGCAAGAAGGCTGGGTACCTGGGGCCAGGAGACTGGCTAGTGAAGTGAGACACCTTATGTATTTGCCAGGGGACTAGGTCTGCTGACCCACAAAGCTGGAACTGAGCACCTTCAGGCGTAGCCTTCATACCAGAGGTTTAAGAGTTTTGGGACACTTAAATTGACATAGTTGAAAGAGTTTGTAACACTTGCCTGAGCAAGGAGAAGCCAGGCTGAGGGACACAGAGAGGGGCTGCCTGTGGGCACAGCCAAGGAGCTGTCTTGATTGGAGAACTAGATCCTGAGTGTTCCTGATCCAAAATGCAAACCCATAATTGTGAGAATGAGTGAGTTCTGTGTGGCCATTGCAAAGAATTCTTGAGACTAGTAGAGGGTTCATGAGTGCTGTGGGAGGGATGACTAGTGTCATAGATATCAACCTTGGGTGGCTGGTGTAATTGATCCTGCTGGTGATTCTACCTCTTCATGTAGTTAGAGGAGGTCAGGTGATGCACAGGTGACATCGTTTTTACAGAGCCACAGATTTTTTTCATTAGGGTCTCTTTGTTTTCTAGAAATCCCACTGAAACCTGTCCACTTTGGGCAGTCTTTGTGGAATGTGACATAAAGGTGGCGTAACATCCAGCAGCACAGCACCCACAAGCCAGATGGACAAATAAGTGGTGAATAGGAAATAGTTATTGTTGTTATGTGCCCTCGAGTTGCCTGTGACTCATAGCAACTCTATGTACAACAGCCCTAAAACCTCCTCTATCCTGTACCAATCTTATCGTCTCTGACATACCTACCCCCATCACCCCAGTCACTGAATCAATCCATCTCATCTAGGGTCTTCCTCTCCTGCGCTGTCTCTGCACCCTCCCAAGCATGACATCCCTCTCCAAGGACTGGTCCCTCCTTGCAACATGCCCAAAGTATGTTAGACGGAGCTTCAGAATCCTTGCCTCCAAGAGCAGCCTGACTTCACCCTCTCCAATACGAACTTTTCTTTTCTTTCTCCTTTACATTACTATGAGGGCATCACGTTAATTTTCACTAAGCAAGTGAGTCCTCACTATTCCTAAATTCTTCCTTTGTGCGGTTACTCACTACAAGGTACCTGTAAGCCGTGAACTGACGCACAACTCTGATGGTCATTCACCAACACACCCAGAGTAACAGAAAATTTCCGTTGCCCAAGGCACGTGTCCCCAACCAAGGTCAAACAAGGTGACACCCTATCTTCTTGTTTCAACTCTCACACTGTGAAAATATATCCTTTTTATGATTTATTTCATGCCACCTTTTTTTGTATGTTGTACTTTTTCTGTTGATTTTGGTGTTTAGAATGGTACTGAGGAGTTGTCTGTTATTCTTCCTTAAAAAGACAGTGCAGGGTCCTACAGAGAAAAGGTGTGTGGTAGATAAACTTGGTTCAGACTTGAATTAAAATAT